AGAATGTGTGCCCATGCGGTGGTACCATATTATTATCATGTGTGATGTATACAATCCATGGTTGCCATATATATTGAAATTTGTCAGACCTACATAGCGATATCCATCTCAATTCCTCCATGGCCCAAGTGCTTCATCTTAACATGCCATTGAAGGGTGGGGGGTGGCTCAGGGCTCTTCCATTCTCCTGCTATAACCAATTTTGCTGCTGTTAGAAGGAAGTTTAGAAGAGAATGTTTATATTTACCTAGCGGTACCCCTGTAAGGTAAAACAACAAGGCCGTTAGTTCTAGGTTCAGTCTAATTCCTGTAACTGTCTGTATCCTGTCCCTTATCCATACACAAAACTCCTGTATCAGGGGGCATGTCCACCATATGTGTTCCAATGTGCCCCTTCCGCTCCCACACCAGGGGGTGCAATGGTACAAATTTATGTATTTTAGCATAGTGTTGTAGAGTGTTGTACCATCTCAAGAGCAGTTCATAGTTTGTTTCTTGAAGTGGAATCCTAGTGTGTGCACAGAAAGTAAAGGTGAAACCTTGTGCCATTCCTTGCCTCGCAATGGAGATGCTAGGATTGAGTTCCATGCAGTGACATATGTGGGGAGCGTGGAATTGAAAGCTTTTTGGAGTATTTTATAGCATACAGTGGATATTTTAGGGTGCACCTAAAAAAAACAGATTGTTTTGAATTTGGTGAGTGCTAGGATCGTCTGCTGCAGTGTAATGAGATTCCCTAGGAAGTGTTTCATCTGGTGATACCTAACTGTCTGAAGACGCTAGGTTGGCCTGTAGTCACTAGCATCGCTAGTCCCTTCAGCCCTGAGTTAGTAAACAAATGTTGTATCGCTAAGTATGGGGGTATCAGTTGTTGTTCTCCAAGGTTAACACCTAATCCTTTGGCTCCTGCTGGGAAGAGCGGGTTATGTCATATAGGATAGTTGGGCGATAAGGTTGGTGCGATCTCTCCAAGTTCAGCTATCTTTCGCCAAACCATAAGAGGAGCAGATATTGTTGGATCGGATGGTAATTGGGGCAATGGTGACCTTGACAGCAGCCAGGACAATGCATGGAGTAACGTTTTCATATGATTCTGTTCAATGGTGATCCACAGCTTAGATTTAGGTTGTTTGGGCCAATGGACTATTCTACTCATGTGGGCAGCATAATAGTATAGCTGTATGTCCCGGGACCCACTCCCCTATAGTGTTTTTGCTTAATCAGGGTTCTGTATGCTAGTCTCGGCTGATTGTGGGCCCATATAAAGGTCATAAAAACCGATCGTAGTAAGTTGAAAAAACATTATGGAATATCAATGGATACCCTATTGATGAGGTGATGGAGTCTAGGTAGAATATTCATGGATATTATGTTGACTCTCCCTAGCCATCTAAAATGGGGTTTGTTCCAGGCCGTTAGGTCTCTCTTTTTTTTTTTTGTAAATATGAATTTTATTAATGTAAAAGCAGTTGTTTACAAGCATGCAGATTTGGAAAGGAGACACGCAGGTCTCAAACATAATGTAAGGTATCCATGTATCTAGTTTGACATCATGTTTCCGCTCCCACAGAGCCCGCAGGCCTCGTTTACCTAAGGTCGCATTTTCGGCACGTTTGTCAGCTACCTCACATCCCAATCTTCTTTCTGTTGTAAATCCCCCTTCCTGATATGTGTTCCTGAGCTCAGGGTGTCGTGCGTCCTCTGGTGGGGTCGGTAGGATTATCTGGCTATACCCTGGGGAACTCTGGCCCCTAATTCCCCTGGGTACCCGCGTTTATTGGAGTTCTGGAGATCGTGGGAGGTGGTTGTACCAGCCTAGCGGTCAGAGTTGTGTGTTCCTTTCATGCGTTTGTATTTGTGATCTCTGTTAGTTGGACCGTCTCCCTAGCGAATCGTTAGGTTTCTCCTAAATCCTGCGGTCTCCCTCTTCACGTCTCTGTCGTCTAAAAGTATGTGTTCGTTATTGTCTCCATCTAGTTTGCAATGTTCCTGGTGGGCATTGTTCAAGTGGTGCGTATTGGACTCATGTGTGGCCTTTTCTAGTTGTTGTGTGGTTCACCTATGTGAGTTCCTTGCTCGTGGAGGTAGGTGTAACCCTGTGTGTGTTCGGTCTAGTGTTGGTGTGGTTGTCTCCCGGTTTCATTTCCTGTGTCGATTGGTGTGTGTCTGTGTGTATTTGGCCCTCCACCCATACGTGTGGTGGTGGTGTATCATGTGGCTCAATCCATAGTGAAGTCCCATGTTTCCCCTGTTGTGTTGTTGTTTTGTGTCTTCTCTTGTCTGCCACGGCTTTCCGCCCTTCTGGGGGAATTCCTCTTTTGTGTATCATTTAACCCTACTTGTCGCCTCTTGATCTCCAGCGATATCGTGAGTTTCGCTCGTCTCCTGCTCTACAGCGTCATCAGGGGCCTCGCCCCTACTTGTGCCTTGCTCTGGATCGTGTTTGTGCATTGCCTCTGGTTGTGTCGGTGAGGGAGGGGGGTATGTAGGGGGGGGGTTGTGAGGTTGAGGTGAGCGGGTCACCCTTTAGGCGCACCCGGATCCCCCAGGTCTCTTCCTCTGCGTGGGTCTTATTGTGTGTCCTCTCGCGTCTCGTCATCTACACTATATATAATAGCCACGGTGACCACATTTCCGTGTGCCGTTCTTCTCTTCCCAGCAGGTCGGCTATCTTTGCTTCTGCATTCCGTATTTCTTCCACTTTGCGTTTCCATTGTTCCATTGTGGGTGGATCTTCTTTCTTCCAATGCAGTGGGATCAAGGATTTCGCCGCATTTAACAGATGCCTCATGATCGATTTTTTATATGTAGGAAGAGGTTGTTCCGTGTGATGTAGAAGGGCTGCTTCCGTCGTGGGGGGTCATCTAATATGCCTTGTATTTCGTGTTCTACGTTCCTCCAATATGTTTGAATTTTCGAGCAGTCCCACCAGATGTGCCGTATTGATCCAGGACCTTCGTTACATCTCCAGCAGGTGTTCGGGATAGTCGGAATGTATCGGCTGAGTAAGGATGGTGTGCGATACCAATGCGCTAGCAGCTTGTAGTTGACCTCCTGGAAGTGGGAGCTAGAGGAGCTCTTGTGTTGAAGTATCAAAATTTTTTCCCATTGGTCGTCCGTGAAGGATTTAGTTGTCCATTCTTCCCATTGGCGCTTGTGTAGGTTGTTTTTTGCGCTATTTCCCGTGATTAGGGTTTGATATATCGCCGATACTCTCCCGTCTGCCTCCGGTGCTTGTGAGCACAGATTCACATACCATGTAAGGTCTCTGTGGATTTTAGCCCTATGTGGCAGGTTATGGTAGTAGTGCTTCAACTGGGTGTAATGGAATTGGTGCAGGGGCGTGATCGGTCTTCCGTCTGCTATTTCTCCTAGCGGTTTCACTCCCGTGTTATTAAGCATAATGTGAATGGGTATGTATCCCTCTTGGCTGTCTATCGGCCAGGCCGATGGCGCGAGTCCATCGCCCAAGTGTGGGTTATGTGTTATGGGGATTAGCGGGCTCGGTTTGGGCGATATCTGTGGTTCCTTTCTCAGTATGCTCCAGTGCTTCAGTGTCTGTGTAACTGGAGAGTCCTCTCCCAGAATTGTTTGTGCTTCCATTTCTTTGTGCCACATCAGCGTGTGCAATCAATTGTCTGTGGTGTCTCTCCATAACGTCACCCACCTTTTGTGGGGCAAAGCTGTATGTAGTTCTCTCAACCTCTGTAGTACTGTGGCTTGGTGGTATCGTTTGACATCTGGTAGCGCCAGCCCTCCCCAACGTCTCGGAAGGCAGTATCTAATTCGTGCCCTGTCCCCTCTCCACACGTATTGTATGAGCGCCGTCTTGAGTGTTGCGAAAAACGATTGTGGTATCGTTTGTGGTGCTGTATGGAAAAGATACAGGATCCTGGGGAGAATATTCATTTTTATGACCGCTATCCTCCCCAACCATGATATGTGCGCATAGTTCCATCTCTTTAGATCTCCAAGGATGGTGGTTAGAAGGGGTGTGTAATTGTGCGCATAGATGTCCTTTACGTCATGTGTGATCTACAGTCCCAGGTATTTCATTCGTTCATGGCACCAGTGGAATGGGAGTCCTCGTTCCAGTTGTGTGCATTCGGTCTTGGGTACGGAAACGTTAAGAATTTCACACTTTGTCAGGTTGAGTTTTAGCCCCGAGAGGCACCCATAGTTTTCGAATTCGGTCAGTAACTGTGGTATGGACTCTACTGGGTTCTTAAGGAAAAACAGCATATCGTCTGCGTACGCAGCGACTTTGTGTTCTTGCGTTTTGTAGCTGAGCCCTGTGATCCCCTGGTTATTCCGAATGCGGTCCAGGAGCGGCTCCAGGGTCAGGGCAAATATGATCGGGGATAGCGGGCATCCCTGTCTTGTGCCGTTCCGTATATCAAAGCTATCTGTGAGAGCCCCTTTCACCCTGACCCTGGCATTCGGCTGGTTGTATAGCGCGGTTATCCAAGTGAGTAATCCATGTCCCATGCCCATCTTGCGTAGTGTCTCCGTCATGAAGTTCCAGTCCACTCTGTCGAATGCTTTCTCCACATCTGTGGAGAGTAGAAGTAGCTTCGTCTTTGTTTGTTTGGCTAGGTGCTGTACTGCGAATAGTCTGAGGGTGCAGTCCCTGGCCTCTCTCCCTGGTATAAAACCGGTCTGGTCTGGATGTACTAGTTTCGTCAGGTGGGTTTGGAGTCTCGTCGCTAGCACTTTGGAGAACAATTTTACGTCGGTGTTAAGGAGTGATATTGGGCGGTAGTTTCCGACGAGCTCCGTGTTCTTCCCCGGCTTTGGGATGACCGTGATGATTGCCGCTAAGGTTTCCCTGTTGAAGGTGTGTCCTTCGTGTATGCTGTTTAATGCCTTGGTTAGGTGGGGTATGAGGATGTTTCCGAATTTCTTAAGGTATTCTATCGGGAAACCATCCTGTCCTGGCGCTTTCCCAGTTTTTGCTGTCTTCAGTGCCTGTTTGAGTTCTTCTTCGGTGATCGGCGTATCTAGTTCCTCTGCTTCCTCTGGTGTGAGGGTGTCCGGTTGAGGCCTCCTAGGTAGTCTGTCGTTTCTGCCTTCCTCGTGGTTTGGGAAGTACCGTCGTCAACTCCCCGTGTATTGTATAGCTGTGTGTAGAACCGTTGGAATTCGCTCGCGATTTCTTCTGGAAATTGAGTTAATGTGCCCTGTGTGGTGCGCAGTGCGTGTACCTGTGCCCTGCTTTGTGTTCCTCTCAGCATCCTTGCTAGCAATTTACCCCCCTTGTTGGCGTGCATGTAGAAGAATGCTCGTGTTCTTCGGATCGTTCTGGTGTGTTTGCTCTCAATAAGTTCTGAGAAATGCCGTCTGTTTGACATTAGGTCCCTGTAGGTCTGGTCTTGTTGGTCTCGTTTGTGGGCCATTTCTAGGTCAGATATCTTCTGCGTGAGGTCCGCTAACTGTTGTCCGATTTCCTTTTTCCGTCGGGAGGCCATACGAATTAAGTGTCCTCTGATGACACTTTTGTGTGCTTCCCATATTGTCATATCTGAAACCTCCTCGGTGTTATTCTCCGCAAAGTATTGTTGCAAGTGTTCTTCGAGTTGTGTCTTGAGTATCTTGTCCATCAGGAGCGAGTCATTCAGCCGCCATGCGGTTCTAGTTGGTCTGAACATGGGCGATGTCATCGTGACTTGTGCTGCACTGTGATCTGACCACGGTGTAGTGTGTATGTCTGCCCTCTGCATGTACGTGAGACCTTCTTGTTGGATGAATACGTAGTCTATTCGGGAGTATCTTTTGTGTATCGTGGAGTAGTACGCATAATCCCGGTCGTCTGGGTGTCGTGCTCTCCATGAGTCCACCAGACGTAGGTCCCGGAGTGCTTTGTGTACCGTCCTTATCGCCGAGTGTGGAATGCTACTCCGTCCCGTGGAGGTGTCGATGAGGGGGTCTAGTGGGATGTTGAAGTCCCCTCCGAATACGAGGATCCCCTCAGTGAACCGTGCTAGCTTCGTGAGTGTTCGTCTGATGAAGCTAGCTTGTCCGGTGTTGGGAGTGTAGATTGTGGCGAAAGTGTACATTTTTAGTGCTATTTCTCCCTTAATGAAGAGGTATCTGCCTCCTTCATCAATCTTTGATTCCCTTAGGGTAAATTGCAGGTGTGTCGCCAGGAGTATCGCTGTTCCCGCCTTGCGAGATGTCGGATGATTGCTATAGTAGTTCACGGGGTAGTTTTTGTCCTTGAGTAGTGCGTTTGATTCCACTCTGAGGTGAGTTTCCTGTAGGAGGGCGACGGAGATCTGTTGTCTCTTAAGGCTTCGTAGTAAGTGAGATCTCTTTTCCGGGGTGTTGAGACCTCTGCAGTTTTGCGACCTAACCACTAATGGCGCTGGGGTGTAAGCCATGTGTGAGCTCTCGGTATCCGTGTCAGGTACCGCTATTCAGGATCAATCCGCTTTCCGACGGATCGGGCTCTGCTCGCTGTGGCCAGGAAGGTCCGGGCGCGCCCCAACGGGCTGTCGCTTAGGTAGGTGAGGGAAGAGGGAAGGAAGGGGAAGGGAAGAGGAAGAGAAAAAAAAAGAAAAGAAAAAGGGGGGGGAGGGGGGGTAGTTGTGGTGAGGCAGGTGTCAGTAAAGTACTCTAGAGCAAGGTGCCCAGGTGTGTCGTGTGTGGCTCTTTCCTCTAGGTGTGTCAGTGTTTAGGTGTATCTTCTGCTCGCTGCCTTGTGTAGTTCGTGTGAGGTGTGTAATGGTGTTGAGTATTATGTGATACCCCAGTGTGGGGTGACTCCGTGTAACTGATCGGGCAATCAGTGCCGTACCACCGGTTTACGGTCCCGGCTGGGCGTCGGCAGTGGCTCCCGCAGTAGGTTGGTTTACACGGGTATTGGTCGAGTAGTGGCCTAGGGCCTGGAGAAGTGTGTTGTTACCGTCGTTTCCTAACGTGTGGTATGTGGTTTTAACTGTCTGAGCCAGGAGACTGTTTGTCCCCACGATGTTAGTAGCGCATGCAGTGCACTTCGCTCTAGTTCATGTTTGGCTAATGTATATCCCTACTGATGGGTCGGTAAGTTGGCGTGGCCAGTGTGGTTGATGGACCTCTTGTCTCTCCGTCAATAGTGCTGGTGGTCATCCGTGTCTGTTCTGTCTGTCGGTTGTCATGGTTATGGTATTCGCCGAATGTATGGCTTAATTCCAATGGGTTTCCCAGTCAGTACAGGAGTGTCTCATCTTATGTTCGGGGTGGGCGTGTGTAGGCCTCGTAGTGTGCTCTGTTGGTTTTGGCTGCGATGTGGGAGAGGGTCACAAGTCCCCAGGGAGTCTACTACCCCCTCCTCAACCTTGGGTTGGGGCCTCCTTCTTGTCTCTACACTTCCCCCTAATCTGGGCTGCAGTCTGCTATGTGGGGATCCCTAGGTTAGCTCGTCAAGCGCCTTCTCTCGGCTTAGTGTTGTACACTTCGCTCTCTACATGCCTCCCATGTCTATCTTGCACCGCCCTCCTCTCTTTTCTTCCCCTGCTCCCCCCTTCCCACTTGGTACCTGCTTCTACTTCATCTGTTGTTTCCTTTTACTGTCGCATCAATAGCGGTGGGTGCATACAACCTGTTGTAGGTGTGGTTTTCCCCCCTTTCCCCCCCTCTCCTCCTCTTCTCCCTTCTCTTTCTCTTTTTCTCTCTCCCCCCCTTCCCTCCCTCCCTCCCCTAATTACAAGTTTGGAAATGTGCATTTGGTTGTGTGCCTGAGCTGGTCCCCAGTTTCTCCCTCCTCCTTCCCCTACCTCCGCCCTCGTCATCGTAAGGAGCTACCCCCACAGTGGTATATCAAGCATATAAGTCATAGGATCATTCCTTACTCCCACTTCAAACCTATATCCCCATGATCTGTCCATATATGTATCAAATCCATGTGAGTTAGGTCCAGTAGGCATCGATACCATGTACTCAGTTCAGGTGGTGCATCTGTGGCATCCTGAGAGATGCCCCCTACCTCCCTCCAGTGCCCCCCACCCCAAGTTATGACCTCGTCTGAGGATGCCTTCCGGGAGTAAAGCGGTAGTTGTGATCCCCTTTATGTTCAAACCATTCCCTGCGTCGCTGCCCCCGAATAATGAGTCCCCACCTGTCAGTCCCCACAACTCTAGATTATGTGCTCGGCGTCGTCGTCCATAAGTTGTCAAGCGAGACAGTATTTGGTGCGTTGTGTGTCAAAGTCCATAGTCCTGTCGGAGATCAATAGTTATTAGTACTTATCTGAAAGTCTCGTGAATGTGCTGGCTGTCGGTGACCATCTTCACATCTCCTGTTGTCCCCTTACTGCCGTGTGCCATTTCGGGTACGGGAGGCGTTAAACTCCAGGTTGTACTGGGTGTTGCGCCGGGTTGAGAGGTCAGCGGTCTGGCCGTCTGAGCGGCGAGTCTTCCCTGCGCCGCCTCGGTGCTCTCGGGGCTGGCTGGTTGGGTCTCTGTTCCAGCGGGTTCAGGATCCAGTCCGTAACCTCCGTGCGTGGTAGGCCCATGCTTAGAAGAAAAGCCGGTACCTCATCCGGCCAACGTAAAGGCCGCCACTCATTATGATGTCTGGCCAGTAAGCAGAAAGGGAATCCCCACTTATACGGTATGTTGCGACTGCGTAGCAGTTGTGTCACTGGTCTCAGCGCTCTGCGGGCCTCAAGTGTGAGAGGGGAGAGATCTTGGTATAGGGCTACCTCTGCTCCTTGGAACCGCCATGTTGGTTTCAGTCTGGCTTTGTTCATGATCATCTCCTTTACCCTGTATTCATGGAGACAGCATATGACATCTCTGGGTGTATTGTCTGCGTTGCGCGGTCTCAGGGCTCTGTGTGCGCGGTCAAAGTCAATGCGCGGCGGCGAGTCCGGGCCTAGGATTTCCCTGAACAGGGCAGTCAGCGTAGCCTGAACATCCTCTTCTCCTGCTGCTTCTGGTAGGTTTCGGACTCTGATGTTCGACCTTCGGCCCCTATTATCTAGGTCCTCAGTCTGTCTTCTTAATTGTAACAGCATGTTGCCTTGCCTTGTTACTGCCGCATCAGTGGCATCCAGTCTGCTACTTGCTGTAAGTTGAGTTGCTTCCAGGGTTTGTGTGCGTCCATCTTGTGCTACTATGTCCCTCTGAATTGTAGCTACCTCCGATCTAATTGCCTCATGGAGCGTGGCTGATAGTGCCTGCAGGTCAGCTTTCGTGACCATGGCTCCCGTTAGGGCTCTGATGTCGGCCCGAATGTCCGACAGTGAGGGTTCCTGCGTGTCGGGCGGCTGTGCTGAGGTCCGATCGTCGACCATTTTGTGGCCTGTGGCGGTACGCGGCTGTCTGCTTGGCGTGTGGAGGTATCCGTCAAGCGGTCCTGTTTGCGTGGCCCCCTGTGATCTCCTCGTGGTTTGGTGGGAATCAGACCTCTTGGCACGACCCATCAGGTAGGTTTCTGTGCCTTGGATGCGAGTTTTGTGCGCTAGTTGTGGCTATGTGGGACGGAGCTCCTTAGTTAGGCGGCCATCTCCATCGGCGTTCAGGCCACGCCCCCCCGTTAGGTCTCTTTTTATGTTTTCCAAAAGTGGAGGAAAGTTAGCCCCCATAGAGGGTGGATGTAGAGGGGGGTCACCTTTATCCCTAAGTATATGATGTCTTTCGATGCCAATTGAAATGGAAATATGGCCTGTAGTCGTGTTGAGTCTGTGGGGGGTATGGACAGATTTCATATTTCACTCTTACCTATGTTGATTTTAAAATTAGAGAGTGCGCTGTATGCGCTGTCATTTCAGCTATAAGGGGAGGAAGTGAGGCGGCCAGATTCGAGAGTGTGAACAGTAGATCATCAGCAAAGGCCGAGATCTTATATTCTTTAATATTAATTCTCATGCCCTCTATAGACTAGTTTTTCCGTATTTCTTGTAAGAAGGGTTCTAATGTCAAAATGAAAAGGAGCGGGGAAAGGGGGCATCCTTGGTGTGTGCCATTGGAAATCTTAAAGGATTGTGACAATTGCTCATTTACTTTTAGCCTCGCTGATGGCATGGAGTATATTGTTCATATCCAATCCATCCAGTGCAAACCCAAGGTCACCAATACCCCTCCAGAAAGGACCAATCCACCCTGTCAAATGCCTTCTCGGCATCTATAGAGATTAGTGTACAAGATTGATAATTTTGGTGGTGTTATCCTTGGATTCTCGTGAGAGCATGCTTGATCAGGGTGGATCAGTCCCCACAGGATTGGTCAAAGCCTACCCGCCAACATCTTAGTAAATAGCTTAATATCAACGTTAATGAGGGACATGGGGCGATAGCTCGCACACGCCTCCGGGTCTCCAGGTCCCTGGTTTTGGGTTGCCATGGTTTTGGGATGAGAGCAATGGTGGTCTCCAGCCCGGATGCTGGAAGACCACATTGTGGGGGTGAGTTTAATGTTTGTAAGAAGTAGGGAACTTGTCTCCTCCAGGAAAACCTTATAATATGTTGGCCAGAATCCATCCGGGCCTAAGCTCTTAATGGGTGAAGTGTTTTTAATTGCTCTCACTAATTCCTCTTTGATGAATGGTTCATCTAGCAATGAACAGGTATGCATGTATGTCTGGATCTCATCTCAATTGCGTGGTGGAGCCTCTAGATTATAGAGGGAGTGGTAGTAATTCCTAAAAGCATCTGCAATGTCTTCTGTGGTGTAGACAAGTTTGTCAGAGGAGTCACGGATTGTGGGTATGTATGTCAGTTGTTTTTGTTTCAGGGCTTTAGCCAGCAGTCTCTGTTCCCCTGGTGGAAGTGCTGTTGTTTATTCCACAGAAGGGTCTTTTTTGCTTTGTAATTTAGCAGTATTTTGAGGTCAGTACATAGTGCTACGAAAGTCTGGTAGTCTGTGTCTGAGAGAATGTGATTATGTGTTTGTTCCATAAGTTTTATGTTACTAATACGTTTGACCCTTTCCCTAGACCTTTGACGTATGAGGTATGCCCCCTATTTGATCAGTTCTCCCCTTAAAATGCATTTATGCACTTTCTATTGAAGAGACGTGTCAGTGGTTTGATTCTCCATAAAATACTGTGTAATGTTATTTGCTGTAGCCTCCCGCAC